GAAGAAGAAGTGTACAATAGTTTTGGACCTTTTGATTTAATAGAGGGAAAAAAAAGTTAAGACCCTCACAATGACTTATCGTGTTTTTATTAAACCAAATTGGGAATCGGGAAAAAGCTATGACCTCCATTTCTGATTTCTCATACACATGCTTTCACTATTTCAATTTTTTTTTTTGACAATTACTTTTCTTGAAAGTAAAGAACCTCAAGTTTCAGATTAATTAAATTATTTTCAAAGTCTCATTACATGGTTACAATTGCAATCCTCTTCATAATAGCAACAAAACACTTCATTGTTTATCCTTAGCACAGTAGAAAATAGGCACTACCCTTACTGATATTTCCATTGTCTGTAGGGCAAAAGACAAAGAAACACACCATTTAGGCAGCTCAAAGACATCCTTCTTTCCTCTCACTTTCAAATGTTTCTCTAAAATGTCCAGTACATGAGATTTAGCAAGCAAAAAGTATATGTTGTCAAATAAATAGATCTAAGTTGTAATAATTAGTATGGACAAAAATATAGCATTTGGAAATATGAATTTGCAATCACATTTGAATGAAATTAGAAAAATAGTTAAATGAAATTATGCTTCCAATGAGGAAGATGAAGTGGTTATTAAGGCGTATCAAATTGTTTTTTGAGGGAAAGTTTCCAAAAACCAAAGTTTATTTATTCCAAACACCAAAGTTTATAAAAAATGAAGTGTTAGAGACAAAAGTAGAATGAAGAATTGTCCCACATCGGGAACTTGGGGGAGGCAATGGCTGCCACGCCTCTATAAACAAGGTTAACACTCATGTCTCAATTAAATAAGGTTCCTTCTTGTGCCTAGGATTATAATGACTTATGCGTGCAAGGGGGCGCGGCTGGCCAATAAAAAATAAAGGAGTTCGAAAAATAAAAATATGAAAAATATGAAGGATGGGGTGGGCTGCTCCATCCCCCTCTTTACTTAGAAATTTTAAAAATTTCAAATGAATATTTTTTTTTTAATGTGGGAACCGGCTGAACCATCTGGTTCATTGTGAGAACTGGGTGGTTCTTTCTGGAACCAGCTGGTTCTTGATATACAGTGGGAACCAAAATAGTCCCATCAATTCCCAATCCAGATCAGGCGATTTTCGATCTGGATCGATATGTTTTAAAACCTTGCCCGTAAGTGATGCTTGCAAGTTTGTCGTGCAAGCTGTTGAAGTCGCCTCCTGATAGTCAATTTCTTCACATCTAGCATTTCGCGAGGTGGATCCACTAGAACTCCTCCTCGACCCTTCTTGTTGTCATGCGTTCATCGAAATCACAAACCGTAGGTTGATCAAGAATCGCAATCCTTGATGATCACAAACCCTAAGCTCTGATACCAATTGATGTAGAAAGAATCAGCAAGGAAGAAAACAATCAAATAATCTATTGATTGGAAAACTAAAGAGGAAGCATACAAGCCAGGCTTTAATGGTTATTGTATTGGTTAAACCCGATAAAAGAACAACTCAACTCTCTTTGCTAAATTCTTTACATAGACCCTTGTAGTAAAAAACATTACTTAGAGTCCAAGAAATCCTTTTTTTTTTTGACAAGGTTACATAGGAATGGAACTTGAGATGTAGTACTATGAAAATCGAGCCCCAAGAAATCCTTTTTCTAAGGGAAACTGAAGTCCCAATTAAAATAAAATTTTGAATGACATCTTTACCCCTAATAAATAAACATCCCACAAGTACTAGCTAGTTTTCAAAACAGCTCCTAAAAATCCTAAAAAAACTGCAAGCAGAAAATGCAAAATCCATAGAAAACTTAGAAACCAGAAAATAAACCCTGAAAATCCCCCAAAAAATACATATTTGAATTTTAATAGGATAAATTTAAAATGCAAGGCATTTGCTTCTACATCGTTGACCCACCAAAGATCTTCTGGTTTGAGGGACACAATGAAACTCCCATTAATTATCATTGTTTAGTTAATTTTACCATTGGAAAAACATACGAGTATATTTGGTGTGATATGTTACCCATGGATGTGTACCATATCTTATTGGGTCAACCATGCCAGTATAACCATTCTGCTATATAGCATAGGAAGTACAATTCATATCCTTTTTGCAAGAATGAGGTTTGAATTATTTGCAACTATTAAAAGAGGATAATCAGCTTAAATCCAAGAAGGGAGAGGGCGGGGTTATTCTCTCTTTAAATCAGTGTTGATATGCTTTGTAGCAAAAGATGATTCTCTTTTTAATTTTATTTCGACTGGTGATACACTATTGACTGAGAAGTTTATGGATGTTATACTTGAAGAATTGCCTGATGTTTTACTCCTTAATAAGAGATATTCAGCATTGTATTAATTTGATTTTGATCCTTGGTGCTGCTCTTCCTAACTTGCTATACTATAGCATGAATCTGAAAGAACATGAGGAATTGCATAGGCAGGTCACTAAGGTGTTACATAAACAGTTAATTCAATAAAGTTTGAGTCCTTGTGCATTCCATGCCCTGTTGACACCTAAGAAGGATGGTTTTTGGCTGTGCATAGACAATAGGGCCATCCATAAGATGACTATAAATTATTGCTTCCCTATTCTCCGTATTGATGATAAGGGGGATATGTTAGCGAGCTTTAAAATGTTTTCCAAAATTGACTTGAAAAGTGAGTCCCATCATTCGAGTTTTGCCCTGGAGGTGCGTGGAAGACAAACTTTAAAACTTGGAATGGTTTGTATGAGTGATTTGTGATATCATTTAGATTGTCTAATGCCCCAAGTACTTTCATGAGATTAATGAACTAAGTGCTTTGTCCCTTTAATGGAGGATGTTGTTCAATACCAGCGAATAGTAGCTTGCGTTATCTATTTGACCATTATTAGCCCTGAAATCATGTTCACAGTTTGGTTCATGAGCTAATACATTCGTGCTCTGTGCATTATCGATCTTGAGGCAGTCAATCCCATCGTACGCTACTTAAAATCATCTCCAGGAAGGCGAATACTTATGTGCTACAGCATTTGCATCAATCTATGTGGATGTACTGATGTAGAACGGGCAGGGTTTCTCTCAATAGGCGATCAGCCCACTGGTTATTGGACTTATGTTGGAGGCAATCTTGTTACATGATGTTGCAAAAAGCAAATGTTGTCGCTTGCTCTAATGCAGAAGCATGTTAAGCTATGACATCAACTACATGAGAGCTAGTGTAGTTGAAAGCACTGCCTTAAGAGTGGTTTTTCCTTTCCAGTATCCTACTCTATTGTGATAATCAGGCTGCATCCACATAGTAACCAACCTAGTGTTCTTCAAGCAATCTAAACACATTTGAAGTTGATGTCACTATGCATGTGGCAAAGCTTCCTTGCGTGAGAAACTGTGATCAGATTTTAAACATTTTCGCTGTTGATGTGGAAGGTTATGAGAACTTAAATTGGGATTCATGACATTCATGCACCAACTTGACGGCAGACAGGTGTCCATGAGGGCACATTTGTCCCTGATGTATACTTTTGTACTGTGCTTATATTATATTGATGTACCACCTATAGAAGGACTTTAAGTGTATATTGTAAAAAATTATCAGGTCCTCTCCAAGCGGAAGGACACTCAGATGTTATTTGATGGTCTTAAGCGGAGGGAATTCCCTCTTGGAGATTGGCAGACATCATGGAGGAAAGGCATCATCTGTGCCAAGATAAGGTCAGTAAAGTTTCGTCATATTTCATGAATGATCATGACCTAGCAGATTCATTAGCATGTGTGGGTCATAGCAGGTGAGATTCTGTGGGATCAGACCCCTGTGTTTCTTATGTTTTCCATAATCTCTTCTTCCTAACTGTTGACATCTCAGTTTTAGGCAATGTTACGTAACAGTTTCCTTGACAACAATCGAAAAAACAAATAAAAATATACTTACTTTGATTCGTATTAAAAACCTGATTCTGGGTTACTTGCTTTTTTACTTTGGTTTGGTTCAAGTAAATCCCGTGTGGGTTTAATTTCATAGCTCAACCTGATTCTGGGTAACTTGCTCTTTTACTTTGGTCTCGGTGTGGTTCCTCAGGGACTAGCTGGAAAAATATCACCCTTGTTGTTATGTTGTTGTTCTTGCTGCTTCTGTTGTTGTTATTACTATTACTTATGATTTTGTGGATACTATTGATAAAGGGTGTGGTTTGTATAAGGTTGCAACCTTAAACAATCCAATTAAGGTGTACCTCTAAATTTTATCATAAATGTAAATTTAATATAAAAAATTGTTAGGATGGCTTGAGAATATATTTTCGTCTCCAATTATGAAATTTTAAACTTTAAAAATGGTTCAAATCAAGTAGATCTATAAACACATGAAAATCTTAAAAATGGATGGTCCAAATAATGTGTTGCAAGATACACTATTTCGTGGATTCGAAATATTTTGTTCTTTTCATTTTTATACATCTTGATGTCGAGATGATCAATTAGAGGGTTTTCTAATATGCAAACAGCTTTTTATGATGGATTTTTTAAGTGCATCTTTATTTCTACATTTTAAGATTGCAACGTCAGATAAACTTTTTCCATTGATAAAACTATGTATATATTCCATATTCAAGCCATAGTCAAATGTGTGCATCATAGCATCAAATGCTGGCTAGTGTGTTGTGTGGAGACTTAGGGCTTTGATCACTGACAGAAATGTGGAATATGCTTCCAATGAGGGCTGTTGTCATGCAAGGGTGCCAATGGTCAGATCTTGTTTTAAATTCCTGGTGTTTGATTTTGACAAATAATGACTCACAAATTCAAAAGCCAAGTATCATTGTATTGTATATCAGGGATTGTGGTTTCGTTGAGGAAAAACCTTGTGTTTGAACTACTACATGAAAATCGCGAGGCACTAATATGACCCTACAATGGTTCAGCGCATAGTTTGATTACTATCCTTTGCTCTTGGGAAACTTAATCATTGATTTACTGCAGATTTGATTTAATCAATAATTCACTGAATATTTGTTGCTTTCTATCTGTAGTGCAAATGCATATGCCATGTCAAGAAGATGTCTTGATAGAAACTCAAGGAGAATGGATACCCGTTGTTCCTCGACCATATTTCTTTAATGGCTTCCATGGCAGGAAAAGGTCAGAGCGCAGGCATCATCTGTCTTCTCTTCCAAATGACAACAAGGATAACCCTATGGTGCCTTCCTCGGAGATGAAAATTGAGCTGAATCCATTCTCTGCAAGTGAAATCTCTCAGACTAATTTAAAAAAGCAGAGAAAAACCCAAATTCCTTTTTTTCATGGGTTATCCAAGTTACAGCACAAGATAGACACAAATATATTTGAATTTTACTTGGAGTAAGCTCTGTTCTCTTTTATATCTTGTGAAGCTTTTGTTTTTCTTTCTTCTCATACTTATCTCAAGGTGCTTTCTGATTATCTCAATGAAGCACCAGAAAGCCTGTCATTACTTGGTAAACAGAAATGCATGCATGAAACATTCATGTGAAGTTCTTCAATTCAAAAAATTCATGTTGGTTCCTTTAGGACCTTATGGAAGAAGCTTCCTGAAGATAAGCAACGGTCTTGCACATACCTGGACTGTTTATGGTTTCATTTGTATGGGGTTGGTTCATCATCTACAAAGGTATTGGACTGGGTTAGGAGGAAGCACATATTTTCTCGGAAGTATGTGTTCGTTCCCATTATTCGTTGGTAAGTTGGTTCCTCCTCCAAGTTGAGTTTTCCTCATATGGTCACAAAATCTCATACTTCGGATTCTTTTTCTGATGTATCTCATACTAGGAAATTTCTCAATGAGGTAAGATATATTTTATTTGTTTTAATTTTTGGAAAGAGATGGAAAAACTAAGTTATTTTTGCCAATACTCTTTTAATTGAGGCTTTGGTGGACTTTAATCTTGACAAAAAAATGCGAGGAAAATTAAAGGACAAGAACCTCATGATATGATGGAAGCCATCTTTCTTTGAAATCCTCTTAAAATTGTGTTATTGTGATATTTAGAAAACTACGGTTATGTGATACTGAGAAGAAGTTGGTTATGTTTGTGATCATATGGAGTTTCACCAGTTTCCTTGTTGTGTCTACAGGAGACACTGGAGCCTTCTAATTCTATGCCATTTAGGAGAAGATTTGGATTCAAAAGAAAGGACACCATGCCTGCTACTGCTGGATTCCCTAAGAATGGCTGAACCAAGGCGGCTTGAACCAGATATTAGAAAGTCTCTGCATTTCTTGCCTTAGTTTCTAGTTTTTTTTTCTCATAGTCAAATGCAGGAAAAACACTGAACTCCATGTACTTATTGTTTTTCCCAGATTTGTTTGGGACATCTATAAGTCGGAAGGGGGGAAGGAGAGCAAAGAGATAGTTTCACGAATCCCACTTTTGGTGCCTAAAGTAAGCCCTTAAAATTGATTATTCTTTAATTTCTAGAAGCATTTGGTATTTATTTTTAATATTTCATCATGGCCTGATTGGGAGAAGCCATATTTCAGGTACCACAACAGAGAGATGAAAAACAGTGTGGAATGTTTGTTCTCCAATTTATAGACTTGTTTTTGCAGAATGCTCCTGAAAATTTCTGTCCTTTCAAAGGCTACCCTTACTTTGTAAGCTCTGTACCAGCTATCCCTCTACGTGAGAAGAACATCAACCATCCATTCCTGATGATGGAAAGGGGACCAGTTGTGTTGGGGCCTGCTGGGACATTCAACCCAGCAGAATTAATATCCTCTTTCGTTAGTCATTGGAATGGATGTTGTATTCTCCTTCGAATCATTTTATACCATTCCATTGGATTATGGTATACTTTATTGCATACATTCATCTTGAAAATTTTATAGACAACAAATTTTCATTGTCTTTTGCAGCTCAAGGAAGATTGGTTTGACCCAAAAGACATCGAGAGCTTCTGCAAAGATATCCATTCGTTCAGCTTGTGTGTGTTTTCTGAAGAGAGTTAGCTTCACTTACCCCAAAAAGCAAAAAGGAGTTAGAGAGAGAGATTGGCTGTCTTCATTTCTGTGACCTATTTCCTAATATTTTGCATTTGGGTTGTGTTCTGCAGGAGACGATGGTACAATGGTGAGTTGAACTTGAAATTTCGACTTCCTGAGGACTCATCATCAATATTTGATTAGGTAAAATGGCACAACATCTTATTCTCCCTTCACTAATATCTTCTTGCTAAGTGGTGACTGAATTAGTTGTGGTTCCTTCTCTCTGTGGTTCCCATCCAATTACCTTGGAGTGAAAGCAGTGATAAAATCAGTTGCTCTCTTTTAGTTTTCTTAATGCGCACTTAACTCTTCGGTGCAGCCATGTGTAGCACCTCTTTTAGTGCCTGTATGGATCGAAGCCAACCATCTTATCCTAACATTACACCTTTCTGGCTATCATGGGGATAGGTATGATATTTCCTTGATTGATGCTAGTGTAAATATGACATACTTTTGCCCTTTTTTCCTTTTTTCCCTTAATGTTGCAGTTATGTTTTGAGAGTGGGTTCATTAGATGATAATCTCTAATGGCCAGTGAGTTCTACTTCTTTGAGATAGAGCATGTATTAATGGTATGTTTTATATGCAACTGAAGAACATTCCTTCAAGAGAAAGAATTACACTTTATGGAAGTCCTAATGATTCTGATTGCACAATGCACCATCAAAGTCCCATTCCTTCTCAACATAATGGTACCTGATTTCTCAGATGTAACTTAGATATGTGGGATTGCCCCCCATGCATAAATTTCCCAAAAGACCACTACTATTGTAAAACTCTCTTGAACCTGTGCTTTGATATTTCAGAGGCCTTGAAACCGTGTTTCCTTTGATATGTTTGTTATATCTTTAACAGAATACCACTTAGTGAGAAATTGAATATTAAAATGCCTTGTTAGTGTGCATTACCTCCTAAAGTTCCATTATTTAACAAATCTTCCTCCTCATTAATTTACTTACGTTTATACCCAAAGTTTTGCTTTTTTTTTTCATAATGATGACATTGCCCCTACTTGGATCTTGAAAGTTTGAAGTTTTAGCATTTGTTATGAAGCACTTGGACAGCTTCTTAGGTGGCTGTATTGTATTATCTAAACCGTCAATTTTTAAGATTTTCAAATATTTATAGATCTGCTCAATCTACACTATTTTTTAATCTTTAATTTTATAATTAGACATAAATTTTTTTTTTCAGGCCATTATAATGATTTCTGAGACTAAAACAACATATTTTGATTCTATTTGAATGTACACCTTATTTTGATTCTTTAAGGCCTCAACTTTATATGAATCACACCCTTATATAATATCATTCATATATGTAATAAAGAGTTTGATTTTCTCATGCACACACCACTTTCTATGGGAATAGGCCTCATTGCTTTTCTTTGGGGAGCCATTGGTCTCACATTAGTGTACTTTTTTATATACTTAGAAGTGTCAATATGTGACACTGGGATAAGTTTTTAATGTATCTATGTAACTAGAGGTCTCATTCTCTTCTATGTGTTTAAAGACCTAATTTTCATTCACTTCTATGCATATATGTCAAACAAGGATAAGCTTTACATGACCGTATTTTTCATTTTGCATTCAAAAGTGTAGTCAACATGAAACACTAGGAGCTAGTTAATATTATTGTATTCACTTTTGTTTCGCAGTGTCAACATGATTCAAAATTATATCATACAATATTATGAGAATAAATAAAGACCTAATTATTCAATTATATTGCATAGAAAGGGGGGCATTTATAGTCTCTCTTCACTGTTGTTTCTCATAATATTTCTATTGGTATTATAGTGTGTATAACATTTTAATGAAACCTGTAAAACAGATGTATGTTACTAATTATTACTATTCAATTTTGTATTTAGAAGTGTCAACATATGTCGCAACAGTGGGATAGTAACACTATGAGAAGATAGGTACACTATGAGAAGATAGGTGTTACTCTTAGGGCCTATTTGATAACTGGAAGCAAGTTCAAGCAAGTTCTTGTTATCAAACATGTCCTTATAGACTTGGAAGGCAGCTCATGAGGCAACCTTGGTGAGGCAAGAATTAGGAGTACTCTTAGAGAACCGGAAGGGACACTTGCATTCTTTTTCTTAGGACCTCTACATGTGTGTTCAGCAAATAAGGCAGAGGCAAGAGCCCTTCTTCGAGGCCTCACCCTCATACCTACCAATTGAAGGGGTCTCCATGAATATCACTTGATAGGCAAGGGGAAAGAGATAGATATCTTGGAGATTGTATCTTGGAGATTGAATCCATTTTTTGATAAAATCAAAGTCCTTCTCGAATGGCAATATTTTTTTACTCATTGCCACAGAGAGAGAGTAATTCAAATGCTGATGCTCACGCCAGAGAGGGAGTATCCCTACCAAAAGCAGGGAGTATCCCTAACCCCTTTTTCCATCAATAGACTCTAGGTACCCTTTTCTCCTCCGTTGGTTTTTTTTATGCCTTTATCCCACTGTGTTTGATCTTTGTCATTATGAAAGGAATTTTAACAAGTTAACAATAAAATAAATCAATATTAGGAGAAGAATAAGCTCCCATTAGGCGGTTTCCTTGTTTAGTGTATGATTAGCAATTTCCTTATCCAATGTTCTAAAAATTCGCAGCGTATCAAACGATGAAAGTTGTAGAGTAAATTACTCATATACCTCTTGATACAAGAGGAATGATTTCATATGATGGTTTTATAATATATAACATAACAATCTTCAAAAATCATATTAGAACTATTTGTTTGACCCCAATTTTTAAATATATGTTCTTTTCTTTTTGATGGACAATCATTAAAAAAAAATTGAAAGTGCTTCTATCACCTACAAAATATAGGTCGTTTGTTTGATGAGATGCTTAGATCTAGGCTTTACAAATATATTTTTTTCATTTTTCAAATTTTGTAGATATATTTGTTATTATTTGATCAATAATGTTTGTTTACATCGTAAAATCAGAGTGATCTTCAAGTGAAGATCCCTCGATCCAGCACTACAAACTCGTTATTAAAAATGATAAAGAAGTGAGATCAATCGAATTTTGATATATTCAAATATGAACAAACATTATATTGGACTAGCGGTAGAGCCGGCATTAATCCTTGCACAAAATATTTAAAATGAAACAATAAAACTATTATATGTATAACAAAATAACTAAAAAAATGAATGAAGATTTACTTGATCGGGCAAATTTGCTAGGGACAACCGAAGCTTTGGAGCTTCGCCCTTATCAAGACCGCGACTGAGTTTACACTTTTTGGTCCTCTTTATTCTCTTTCGAACTGACCAAGCCATAACTTTGGTTGGATTATGGTTGTGGGTTCTCAACCTGAGGGTTGGAGGTTGAAGATGGGTCTCATAAAATATGGGTTGATGATCACAAGGTTATAGGTTTAGGGTTTCACACATAGTCTCTAAAGATTTTTGCTCACCAACCATTAAAAGATTGGGCGCATGTCTTTTTATAAACCTAAATTGATTAACATGCATTATTTTGGATAGTTGGCTGATTTGCTAGCACAAATTCGTGATTTGGTGGTCGGAGGGTTGTGCGACACAAAGTGTGTTGCTCATATCAAAACGGGGCCAAGCGACCCCCAGTGTGTCGCAGAGCCAAAATCTGACCAGCTTCTATGAATATGCTCAAAATCACATTGGCAACACAAGGTGCGTCAATTTTGGTGGTCGATTTTGGTCAACAAGGCTGGGCGACACACTATGTATCACACTCCCCAAATCTCACCAAAATCATGGGATTTTGATCATCATGATTAATCATGCGTTTTTTAACATGGTTAGGACGTTTCTAGACTAAATACACCTGACTTTTTACGTCATATAGGGTCAGACGTTTTTAATAGAAGTGATTTTCATTTGAAAGTGGTTGGCAATTTAGGCTCGTGCCATTAAGGAGTATTTTCTATTTTATTTTTTGAATTTTAATTTAGGATCGTTTAAATCTCAATGTTTATTTGAAAATGAGCATTTTCTAAAAGAAAACATATGCATGTAGTTGTTATGGCATTTTAGAGGCCTTTGGATGTTGAAACATGGGTTTTCGGGCCAAAAAAAGTTGGGCGACTCACTTAGTATCGCACCCAATTGGTTAGGTGACCACCCTGTGTCGTAAAGTTTGGGCAACACTGTTTTAAGGTATTTTTCGACACTTGTATCCCTGATGCGAACAATGAGGAAGCCAATTGCGACCTAGGCCCGCGGGCGCTAAAATGCCTGCGGACCATGTAAGCGATGTTGAAATAATTCTTGATCCAGAGCGAATTTTTTAAAGGCAATAGATGGGTTCCAAAAATCATGTGGAGGTAGCACTTGATTCCTTAAGAACACCTTCCAAGTTTCGTCGCGATTCGATGATGTTAAGGTGGATCAGAGACAAAACCAATTTTTAGGTTCGGCCTTTAGCATGCGGAAAATACATCTCATAACTACAAACTTATCACCGGAGCTTTAGATAAACATCATACCACTTCTATTGGATTTAGAATGTCCGGAAACCCCCCAATACCAAATTTCAACTCATTCGGACATTTTTGGACCATCTTATGGCCAACTTACCGAAAAATGGTGGGTTACACACTATTCTGGTACACCTTCGGTGAACCAATTTCCATTTGTAATATGATTTCGGGATCACCTTTGAAAGGTCATAACTTCTTCATCTTAAGTTGGATCGAGGTCAAATTTCAGGAAGATCTTCGTCTAGTCGCCGTGTACGTATTGATATGTGGCACAACTCATGACACGACCCGAGACAGAAGAAATCTTAGAGAGAAGCCGTTTAAAAAAACTCATGCTTTACAGATTTTTGCAAAGAGGAGATCCATTCAATCAAATTGCCATATCACGAAGCTCTGACCTCGGATCGACTTAAAAATGGGTCCATTGGGATCATGACGCCGAGGGCTTCGATCCAAAGTAAACATCATATGTGATAAGTGAACAAAAAGGTTGTATTTCAAGGTTGCAATAAAGATTTTCTGACGACTGGAATCCATATTCCTGCAAATTTCCCCAATTTGGAAAGCGGCAGTCCTGCCACTAAATTGAGTCATTCTTGTCACCAAACGACCGTGACGACTTCCACGTCGTTTCATGATAGAAATATCGAACTAAAACGTCAAGAAATGGATAATATCTGAGATCTAATATCGCAAAATCCCCATCTTTTGACGGATTTCGCTAAGAGCTCAATACTTATATTTGAGGATAAAAAGATATATCAAAACGATCGCCTCGCCATGACCATCACTTTCGTGACATTCTTTTCTCTAGAAGGTTGTCAAAAATACCCGAAACGGGCCTTGGATGACCACCATAACCTATGGCCCCTTTTTGGGAACCATCTTGCCATTTTCGATATTTGGGGTAAGGACAAAATAATCATTTTGCCCCCAAAAGGAGATTCAACTTTAATTCATAGAAAATATATTTTTTAGCAATTTTAGTTAGTTTTCAGCACCCACTTTTGAGTGTTACATAAGCATTTGTAACCCTAAGTTCAAAAGAGGAGGAATTAATGCGATTTGGCCCCTAAGCTTAAGAATTAATTGATTTTTTTTTTAGTCTGGCAATGTTTTCCTCTATCCCTTTTCATCCCAAGAGAGGAGAGAGAAAACTTTATCCATAAGCTATTGCCCCTAGAAACTTCCTACTCACTTGAGATTTCCCACTTCCAACCTAGCCGTCGGTTCAGTCCAAAGAGGCTACTAGGTAACCCCTCACTCTTTCTCTCTCTTCCTCTTTCTTTCTCTCTTCTTTCTTAATCACTTTCTTTTTTCCCCTTCCTTCTGTCTTTCTCTTTCTCTCTTTTTCTCACGGCTAACCGGAACAGCCTGTCCCTCTTCTTTCCCTTCCCTCTCCCTCTCTCTTTTTCTCTCCCTTCGCTCTCTCTTCTCTCCCTTCCCTCTCTCTCTTTCTCTTTCTTTCTCATAGCTAACCGAGCCGGCAACCAGCCTGCCCTTCTCTCTCCCTCTCTCGTTTTTTCCTTCTCTTTTCCCTTCTTCTCTCTCTTTCTGTCACTCTATTCTCTCCCTTTTTCTCATTTTCTCTCTTTCACACTCTCTTTCTCTCATTTCCTTCTTTCTCTATCTCGGGCCTCTCTTCCTCAATCTCTTTATTTCTCCCTCTTCCCCGTTTCTCTATTTATCTTTTGTACTCTCTTCTGTCCTTATCTCTCCCTCTCCCTTTTTCTCCTTCTTCTCTCACTCCTCTTTTTTTCACTCTCTCGAGCATCTCTTTCTCAATCTCTTTATTTTTCTCTCTTCCCCTTTTTATCTTTCTCTCTCTCTCTCTCTTCCTCCCGCTCCTCTCCCCTTTTCTCTTCCCTTCTCTCCTTTCTCTCATTCTCTCTCCCTCTCTTTGTTTCTTTCTGTCTTTCTCTCTCTGCTCTCACTTTCACTCTCTCTTCCTCTCACTCTACTCGAACCGGTGGCTATGCCGCCGGTCCTCTCCCTCCTCTTTCTATTTTCTCTTCCATTATTCTATTTTATTTCTCCTTTTTCTCCCTCTTTCTCAACTGAATCGGCAGCCTAGCCGCTGATCCCTCTCTTCTCTTCTCCTCTCTCCTCTCTCTTCTCTCTTCTCTATCATTTTTCTCCCCATCCTCCTCCTTTTCAACTAAATCGATGGCCTAGCCGCCAATCCCTCTCTTGCCGTTCTCTTTCTTTCTCCTTCTCTCTTCTCTCATCTCTCCCCTTCTCTTCTCTTTTATCTTCCTTTCTCCCTCTCTCTTCTCAACCAGGACGGCGGCGTAATACCGGTTCCCCCCTTTATCTCTTTCTCTCATACTCTCTCTTCTCGCATTTTCTCTCTTTTCCTCTCACTCCACTCGAACCGGTGGCTAAGCCGCCGATCCTTTCCCTCTTTCTCTGTCTCTCTTTTGACTTACCCTTCTCTTGTTATCTCTCTCTTTTTTTCTTCTTCACTCTCTTTCTTCTTCGCTCTCTCTTTTTTTCTCTCTCTACTTATATGAGGCCCTTTAACAAGACGGCGTCGAAAGGCTACCGAAATGACAAATAGTTGTCTGGCAACCTTATGTGTGTGTTCATGAATCGCAAAGTGCAAGCAAGGAGGCTAACGCTGAACCGGCCTCAGACTAGGGAGGTTTTCCGTCGTGATCTAAGAAGGCGCCCGCGAATACCCGAGCGTGTCACGAACCCCCCGTGAGGTAGGTACCACCTCACACCCAATAATCCTCTCTCACTAGTTGGTACCTGTCCACATGTACACCACACACACCATGGTTAGCGAGAGAGCGATCTCGAGCAGGACCCGAACCCGGGTCCCCGCACGGTCATATTACCCGACAAGATTGAGGCCCAACCAAACACATATTGTATCGCTCCTTGGTGAGTTATCATTTTGAATAATGTACTAGAAAGCAATAGTTATTATTATCTAGAATAAAATAATTGTTTAGGCTGTAGCCAAATGTGGCCATGTATGAAAGTAATAGTTATTATTATCTAGAATAAAATAATTGTTTAGGCCGTAGCCAAATGTGGCCATGTATGAA